ACACCGACCCAATACGTTAATTACAAAAGCGGGTAAAATTCATTCCTGACCCGAAATTCGGCAACACCGGACTGGGTTGAATTAGGTCGAACACACATGAATTTGTGTCAATTCGTTGATTACAAAAACGGGTAAAATTCGTTCCCGGCATAAAATTCGACAACACTGATACCGAATCGAATTAGTTCGAACACACATCAATTTGTGTCAATTCGTTGATTACAAAAACGGGTAAAATTCGTTCTCGGCTTAAAATTCGACAACACCGATACCGAGTCGAATTAGTTTGAACACAAATGAATTTGGTTTCATTTGTCATAAGAGAAAATATTTAAAACATTTGATTAATTAATAAAATGTTTAACAATAAAATAATCTTATTTGACGTGACTCTACCAAATAGTAACATGTAGTTTGTTCTTTTAAAGAGATAATAATAATAATAATAATAATAATAATAATAATAATAATTTAGGAATGGACATGTATGTGTCTGGGGTTGAAAGCCCAAATGTTCACACTATCTATGCAATCAAATCAAATGATCCTACAAAAAATAAAAATAATCATAAAGCTGATCCATCTGGTTCACCATGGCACTGGAGCTAAGGGTATGGGGAGCCGGACCGGAATCCCGGGATATGGCTCCTCAAAGGCAGAAGGAGCGAGGAAGAAGTCCAGGTTGGAGGTCTTGAGATCGAACACACCAATGCAGCACCGCTCTCTGCAACCATATTGTTCCACTTCCAAGACGTAGATGCAATTCCCTCGGATCCCCGACTCTGCATCTGCTGGAATCGAAAACGGCTGCCCAAACCCTAAGAAGACAGCAAAATCTCCTCGGACGCCAATCTCTTTGATCTCCACCCACCGCTTTCCCTCCCCGTCGAGCCCGTACACATCAAACCCGCGAGTCCTGCAGTACACCTCTGCACTGCCCTGACTTTCTCTGTTCCGATGGAGCACCAGAATTTGGCCCTCAACTTCAACGAGGTAGTTGAATTCTGGGCCTGACTTGAAAGGATCGGCCAGCGGTTGAGAGCTTTCCACCACCCTTGTCGTCGTCGTCGTCGCGGCCACCTTGGCAGCGAAATTGCAGCGGAAGAGCTCCCCTGTACTGATCAGCACGTAGAGATACCCTGCTTCCAGACTGCTGCAGAGTGCATCCACAATGAAACCAACCCCGGATCGGCACCCTGGAAACTCCATAACCGCCCAGCCTCTCCCAGCTCCCACCCTGCAATACTTGATGTAAGTTTTCCAATGGGGTCCGGGCAACATCACGAACACAAACCAATCCGAAACCTTAGCAGAGGGAGCCCAGATTGTGACCCTCCTGGAATGCCAGAATCCCCACTTTGGGAAATCTCCAGACTTGATTCTCCGACCAGTACCGACGCCTCCGGGGAGAGCAACTTGTGAACCAGTCGCAGGGTTCGCCAGCACCAACCTCAGGTCGCTGTCCAGGAGAAGAATCCATCCTCTCACCGACCCGCTGCAGAGGCTCCAACAATCCCTCAAGCGACACGGAACAACCTTCCGCCGCTTCGTCTTCTTCTTCTTCTTCTTATTGACGATTGCTGTCACCTGAATAAACTCGCGTGTGCCGCCGAGGCTGTTATCGGACCGAGGGAGAAGGAGGCCCGGAATTTGTCGCCCGATCAAGCGCCGGCGGTCCGGTAAGCCCGCGACTCTCCACGAACGGCACACGCCTGTGAAACGAATGTTCGTCGACAGATTTCTCAATCTTGTGGCTACTGCGATTAGGAGATCCTGCGGAAGGCTTTCCCAACCCACCTCATCCGCCGTCGTCGTTTTTTGCTTTTTTGGATTTGGAGCAGCCATGGTTGTTCGCCTGCCTCTCTCTCGATCCACCTCCGGGATTTGGGAACCACACAACACAACAACTTCCTATTTATTTATGCACCTTATTTCTTTTCCGTATCATTTGTTGATTAGTTTTTTTTGGTAGTATTTGTTGATTAGTTTAGGATTGAGTTTCCAGTTTTTCTTTATTATGTTAAGTTCATCACAAATCGATAGTTTTTTTTTTAATATAATGGTGATATATGAAACATATATTGAGAGTTTACACAAATTGGCCCTTTATAAACTAAAAAAACTCATAGTAAGGGGAAGATGAAATAATGAAGTGGATGGTAAATTCTAAATTTTCATAACAAAGTCCGTATGCCAGATGAATTTTCAGTTGAGTTTTACATACTCACTGGGATCTCATAGAAAATCATGTGGAAGCATGGTTCGTGAAATCGTACCGGAAAAGCCAGCGGTATAGTATTTTATATCAAAATCGTGGTTTAATCTTAGTTCAACCGTTAGTATCGTTAAATACTGCCTATTTGTTACTGATATTTTGTGGTTGAACCGCCGATACAGTACGGTTTGATGGACCATGTGTGGGAGTTGTGGTACTTCAATATTTTCAGAACTAGAGTCATACCGAGGGAAAATAATACAACAATCTAAATTTCTCTTAGAAAATTTTTGTATTTGAATCCAATAAATAACATAAGTATCTAAATATTCATACTTGAATTCAACAAATAATATCAATATTTAACTTCCAAATTCAGTAAACAAATCAATATTTTTTTTTAATTGAATTCACCAAAACAACGTCATTTTATTTAAAGATCGAAAATCATTCATATTATTCATACCAGAAACATTAAAATTGATTTTGTAACATCATGATTCGCCAAAACAACCTGCCCCGCCCCGTTCTTGGCCCGTTCTATCTCAATTTCTTACAGTAGCTATACATATTTCTCCTAATGTGACTTTTTCTCAACTAGTTAGTTGATATTTCAACTTGTCAACTAAATTACTCATTCTATTATCACTATTTTTCATTCATAAAGTGTTTTCCCCCTTCATTTATCGTAAAAAGTAAAATTTGCGTGTAACTTTTTCAAATAACATATAAGAGTGAGTTACCCACTCGTCTCGTATTAGTGCAAGTTTTACCTGGCCCGACCCGTAGTAGCATGGGACAAAGCATGGATATTGAAATAGCCACCCTGATCTGCCGCATTGCCATTACTACTTGTGAGACCATGGTCCATGAGTACTGCCAGGCTCAAAGCAAGTGATGAATTAATACTAGGCACTTGGGCTACCTATATGACCTAATGGTAGCCATTAGTGAGGGCCAACGAATAAGTATTCATAGCACCTAGTGGGTCCACAAAATAGGCCCGAGGTGTCTTGACCTGCAAAACTTGGCCCAGAAAATTAGTGGAAAGCCCTGGATTCGCCTCAGTCCAGCTCGTCTTTAGATCTGTTGGCTCTCCACAGTGACAGAAGGGAGCCGCCATTGGTAGAGGTGAAGTGAGAGGAGGAGGAAAGGAAGAGATGGATGGGGATGAGGCGATTCTCGCAAAGAGGAAGAGAACAGATGGTTAGGGATTCATTTCTGAGGGGGTAGACTTATATGAGAGGGCTGGATTAAGGCTAAGTTGGGTCTCGGGTCTGGGTTTAGGGTGAATCAATTGGGTTGGTTCTTGGGTTGGGCAAGTAAGGCTGAGTTGGCGGGTAAGGCTGAGTTGGCGGGTCGGGTCGGCTCGGGTCGTCTTTTTTTAATGTTTAAATGTGCTGACTGTGTCTTTCCGTTAGCCACGTCATCACTTAACGGCCGTCATTAACGGAGTCTAACGGAGGTTAACGGAGAGTGACTGAACTTGGACTGTTGAACTAATTCGAGTGACTATAAATGGAATAAATCAATTCGGGTGGCAAACGTGAAATTTTTAAGCAATTCGGGTGACCAAACTTGCAATTAAGCCATTATATTATATTCTTCTCTACTGCCGCGTTGAGTTGTGCCCGGGGATTACTCCCAAGTCCCAATCCATCAACACCAAGTCACCAACCAAGTGAGTTTGCACTTTACAACGCTTTCTAATTTTCAAACTCTCCAAATATGCCAAATTTGTGGGCAGAATATCGCGTCAGCCGGTTTATCAGGTTTAAATGGCACAGTCCGAAATACCGCCCAGTTTTGGTCTAACCGGGGGTAGGCTTTTGGGAAGGGAACGTCGTCGTTTTTTACACACAAAAAAAACTGCCGAAGGCCAATATTCAAAACCCTAATCTCTAAGGCAAATCGAACGAAACGAAAAGCAGGAGCATTCTTTTCTTTCTTCCCAGCGGCTGCCGACCAGGAAGGAACCCTCGTCGCTCCTCCTCCTCACCAGTTCTCCTCTAGCGACCGACGACCAGGAACCACCGAGCCGTGACCAGCGACCCGCCACGATCCCTGCTTTGCTCCGCTCTAGCGACCGGCGACCTGACTGCCAACCAGTGATCCCTACTCCTCTTCGCCGCTCCACTGCTCCTCTCCGCTCCTACTCAGCCGGCGCGCCTCTCCCTCCCCTGCTCAAGAAGACGTCGCCTAGGACGGAGACTGCTGACTACTCAAGAACGCGGCGGATGATGCAGATTTTCTCCGGCCTCAATGCCTGCCACCAGAATATGGTCATCCATCACGATTTGAAGCCAGGTGAATTGGGGCTTTGAATTGCGGTTGAATTAGGGTTTCGTTTCATGAATGTCCTAGTTTGAATTGGGTCTTTTTGACTACACAATTGATTATCTCCTTGACCTTGGCCACGATTTTGTGTATGCCTCGTCTAAATCCTAGGGTCGATCTCGATGATAAGAGTGAGATTATCTCTTACTTGAGAAGTTGCCTTCTTCAGCTGGGGGAGGAGGGTGTCAGGAGTGATCAAGAGGGAGAAGGAGAAGACGATGATGGTGGTTTTATGGTGAGAAAGCCGATAGAGTTGGAGTTCTAATTTGTTTGGTTTTGATAGAAAAGGGAGACAGAGAGTAGGTCGAGAAGAGAAGGGAGATACGAAGGAGAGATTCAGTAAAGGATCGATCAAACTTTGATTGGTCGCCTCTGCGGTCAGCTCCCACCATTGCCCACTCTCCGTTCAATTGCGGGTAGAGTTTGGAAGTGCAGTTTCTCGATTGCAATGGTGGAGTGGGATCTCCTCCAAATTGTATTCCCCGATCCTGCCACTGCTGCCCGGATTCGGAAGAGCTCTCCTTGGATTTTTGAAAAGTTCCTCATCCATGTGCAGGCATGGGAACCGCCCACTAGGATTTTGGCGGCGTCGCTGGTCAAGGTTCCCCTGATGGTGCAATTTTGGGGGATTCCCTACTACTGCTGTACGGAGAAGCTGGGCTCGATGCTTGGTGCTTCCCTGGGACCAGCAGATCCTGCTTTGGTGCATCGATCGACCTCTTCGGGTGGCCTCTATATCAGGGCAAAAGTGACTCTTGATCTTCTTATGCCTCTCCCTGATGAAGTGTCTGCGGCTCATGAAAATCCCTCTAAAGGTAGCTTCAAATCAAAGTTGCATTATGAAGCCCTTCCACAGTTTTCTTTTTTGTGTGGTGTGGTTGGCCATGTGAGTCGTCTGTGCCCAAGGAAGGAAGAGTTGGCAGGGGCTCCTCCTCGTTATGGGAAGCATATGGTCGCTCGAGAATTCGGCCCTCGCGTCAACGAAACAACTCTGGCTCGGTGTCGCAAACGTTTTGTTTTCACCTTGGCTGGCAACAGTTCTGGGCCTCGATCGGCGGCAAGTTCTCACAAGCCCACTGCTGCACCTCTCTTGGCTGCTGCTTCTGGTCAGGATCAAGGCTTGTCTAAGGGGATGACTTCTCATCTCTGTCAGCTGCAAATTTCAGATGTGCCTTTTGACGAGAAGAGTGCCCAGTCCGCCTCTTGGGATGTTTCTTATGACCAGGAGATGATCGAGGCTTCCGAGCCTCCTTCCAAGAAGGCTCGTCTTGTGACTCAGGAGCAAGATTCTTCTATTTTTCAGCATGTCAGGGTGGAGGAAGCCGGCCCAAACCCGTTCCAAATCGATAAATGAGAATTCTTACATGGAATTGTCGGGGTTTGGGAGCTCCCCTGACAGTTCCGGTTCTCCGGGAGGCTCTAGTTCGGGACTCCCCTCTTTTGCTTTGCTTATGTGAGACTCGTCTCGATGATGATTTTGTTGTGCAGCAGTTGATTTCTCTTGGCTTTACTGAGGAGCGTGTACATAGTGTCTCCAATAATGGTAGCGGTTTAGCTGTTGCTTGGTCCTCATGCTTAGTGTGCTCAGTCTCGGTTGAGTCGTCGGGTTTTTTTGTTTTTAGAATGTGACCACTCCTCTTTGGGGTGTTTTGCTGTGATCTTTGTTCACTTACATTGTGATGTAGCACCCCGCCAATTTCAACTAAATGAAATCTCTTTTCTTGTTTCGTCGTATGAGGATCCTGTTTTTGTGATGGGTAATTTTAATTGCTTACTTTCTAGTAGTGAGAAAGAGGGTGGTCGCCCTCCTACTCTTGCACCTTTACAACAATTAAACTTTTTCTTGTCAGCAGGCGGTCTCCAAGATCTAGGTTTCTCTGGACCTCCTTTTACATGGTATAATCGACAATCGAATGGCGATCATATTCAATCCCGTTTGGATCGTTGTTTAGCTAACCATCTAGTTCTTTCCATGTGGCCAGATTTGCAGGTTCATCACCTTTCGGACAGGGGTTCGGATCATAGGATGATTCTTGTTCGTTTTGTGCAGCCAACTGCTAGGCGGGACCGGCTTTTCCACTATGATAATCGGTGGAATTTAAACCCGGAGGTTCCACCTATTCTTATCTCGGCGTGGCATACCCCTGTTGTCGGAACTCCACTATTCCGCATTCAAAAAAACTCAAACAGGTGCGGCACAGGCTGTTGGTTTGGGCAAAAGCGGGAACTTCGAATTCTGCCCGCCAAATTCGTGAACTCCGAGGCGCTATTGATACAGCAAGGGATGTTGCTGCTATCAATTGGGAGGAGATTAACTGGTTGGAGACTCTGTTAACCGATGACTCTGTTAACCGAGGCGTACCGGCAAGAGGAGCTCTATCGGAAGCAAAAATCCCGGGTAAATTGGCTTCAGGGAGGTGATGCTAATACACATTTTTTCATCTGGCTACTCTTCAACGTCGGCGAGCTAATATTGTCTCAGTTCTCCGGGATGATCAGGGTTAACTTCATACGGATGAGCAGGAAAAGGGGAAGTTTCTACTACTTATTTCCAGCATATTTTCTCCTCTAATGGCTTGGACCCTTTATAGTTTGTTACTGATTTGCATATTCCGATTATGATTACTCTCGATATGAATGCATTGCTCACTGCACAGGTTATCAGTGCTGAAATCAAACAGGCATTTTTCAGCATTGGGAAGTACCAAGCTCCGGGCTCTGATGGTTTCACAGGTGGTTTCTATCAACGATTTTGGGATGAGATAGGGTGCGATGTGACTGAGGCCCTCCTCTCCTTTTTTTGGACGGGTCATCTCCTGCATACCATCAATCATACTTGGTTGTACCTTATTCCTAAAGAGCCAAATGCAGATTCTATGCGCCAAATGAGACCTATTGGCCTTTGCCAAGTTCTATATAAGGCGATCTCCAAGATCCTTTCCAATAGGCTAAGTTCCATTCTCCCTCATATTATTAGTCCTTTTCAGAATGGCTTTGTCAAAGGACAATGCATCTCTGATAATATTCTTATTAGTCAAGAGGTGATGCAGTTTCTCAAAACAAAGGCTCGCGGTCCGGACAAGTGGATGGCGCTTAAGCTCGACATGGAAAAGGCGTATGATCGTGTAGAGTGGGCTTGCCTTTTTCATATTATGGATTCGATGGGTTTTTGTGCTCAATGGATGAAATGGATTAAGGCCTGCATCACTACTGTCCACTTCTCGGTATTGCTCAATGGTAGGGAGTACGGCTACTTTCAGCCTCAGCGAGGCATCCGCCAAGGCGATCCCTTGTCACCTCTACTTTTTGCCATTTACACTGAAGCTTTTGCGGCAAAGATCACCCAAGCTACCGAGAGTTCAATGCTTCATGAATTCAAGGTTCACCTGTCTGCTCCACCCTTATCTCATCTTTTTTTCACGGATGATTCCTATCTTTTCCTTCGTGCCTCTATTCCTGAATGTGCAAATCTTCTTCATCTGTTGGCTGACTATGAAATGTTTAGTGGACAACGGGTTAATCTGAATAAATATGTTGTGTGTGTGAGTGCCAATGTTTCAGAACAGGAATTATTATCGATTAGCTCGTTTCTAGGAGTTGCTATTTTGACTCCTGATGACAGGTACTTGGGACTCCCCTCCCAACTCCGTTGGTCCAAATCTCTTTCCTTCCAATTCATTGAAGAGGACTTGGCAGCTCGAATAAGGACTTGGAAGACTAAGGCGCTGTTCCTAGCGGCGAAAGAAGTGGTAATCAAAGCCATTGGGGCGGCTGGTCCTATTTATGCTATGTCTGCTTTCAGACTTCCTCAAGAAACTTGTCGTCGTTGCAACAGTCAGCTGTCTAAATTTTGGTGCGCGGGCCAGGACAAGGAGAATGACATTCACTGGATATCTTGGAGTGCTATCTGTCAGAGTAAGTTTGCTGGTGGGTTAGGTTTTCGGGATTTTAATCGTTTTAATGTTGCTTTGCTAGCGAAACAGGCCTAGCACATTCTCTGTAATCCTGACAGCTATCTAGCCCAGATTTATCAAGCTAGGTACCATCCTCAGTGGAGTTTTCTTGATGCGACAACGGGCTCCCGGCCTTCATGGGCATGCCAAGGCATCTTGGAAGGGCTGGACCTCCTACTCAAAGGCTTACGGTGGCAGGTTGGCGATGGCTCTCGGATCCGCACTTTGCAAGATAGCTGGCTTCCTTCCTCTCCTCCTTCCTGCCCTTTATTACTTCCAGGTTTGACCGCATGCCCCCCTCTTGTCTCGGACCTCATCTGTCAGGTTTCTCATTCTTGGAAAAAGAATCTGTTAGCCTCTCTTTTCTCTCAAGAAAGTGTTGAGCTCATCTTGTCTATTCCACTACCTCTAGTTTTCTCCTCGGATCGTTTGATTTGGCATTACTCTCCTTCTGGTATCTTCGCTGTTAAATCCGGGTATCATCTTCTGTCATCTGCATACAACCGTCTTCACTACCTTTTGATTCAAAATTCTGGAAGTTGCTTTGGAGTATTCCTCTGCCACCCAAATTGAAGTTCTTTCTTTGGCGGGCTGTTTGGGGTTTCTTGGCTCTACATATAGTGTTATTCACTAAAACGCTTGTTACTGACACTATTTGTCCTATTTGCTCTGGGGAACCAGAATCCTTTTCCCAATTTTTCTTTACTTGCAGGAAAGCTCGAGGCCTTTGGAGTCTGGCTAACCTTGACGGCAATGAGTACCATTCTTGGTGGAATGTCTCCTGATGAGGCCTGGCCGCATCTTTTCTTCTCCATGAACTTTTCCAAACTTGAACTTGCTAACATTGTTTTCATTCTTTGGAGAATTTGGAAGGGACGTTGTTGGGCGGTTCACGATCACATTCAGTATCTCCCTCGTGCATTATTTCGTCAGTATCAATGCCAAGTGGATGAGTGGAGGGAGGCTACTCAGGCACCTCTGCCTCAGTCTCATCGTAGCACTACTCGTCTCCCCGCCGCAACAGAACGTGTTGGGTCCTCCCTGACCTCTGGATTTTCTTCCATTATTAATGTTTGGTTTAATGGGGCAGCCAAGCGTGGCCAAGGAGGTAGTATCGGTTTCGTAGGTTTCCATGGAACAGGTATTGTGCTCTTTGCTTTTGGCAAATATTATGATGGTATTCAAGATCCATTTATTATGGAATGTTTAGCCTTGCGTGATGTCTTGCAGTGGTGTCTAACCCATTCCTTTCTTGCTGTTTCTTTGCATGGGGATTCTCAACTTTTAATCCGGCGGATGGTTGGAGGTGATTTGCATCATGATCGGGGAGGTGCTATTTTGGCGGATGCTAAGAGCTTGGCTTCATCGTTTAGCAGTATCTCTTACTGTTTTGTGTCCCGTCATCTCAATAGGGCTGCCCATCATGTGGCACAAAAGGCCCTCTCATCGAGAGTTCGACTATTGGTCGACTCTCGCGCTTTTCTTTCTTCTTCTTTATGACTTTTCTTTTCAACACTGACTTTGCGGGAAAAAAAAGGTTATTGTTTTGTTCCAAAAAAAAGGGTTCGTTGTTCCAACTTTTGTGAATATTGGCGAGGGAGAGGTAGCCAGCGAGGCTCGACATGGTTGTTCGACCGAAGTTCTAGGTCAACAGCCGGCTGTCGACGAACTCGTGGGAGAAAGTCGGCAGACAGTGGTGAAGGGAGAGACCCGACGGGTTTTGATCATGTTTATATTTATTTTTTAATGGTTAGAAAAGATGTGGAAAATTCAAATAATTCAAAATTCTTTTTATAATATTTTTTTGTCACGTCATAGATTTAACGGTCAACTGTTAGAGTTTACCACCACGTTATAGATTTAACGGTCAACTTGGAATGTTAAATTAATTTAGGTGATAACGAGTGAAATTAAATATTTTTAATGACCAAATATAATACTTTCTAGTAATCCTAGTGACCAACCTTGCAATTTAGCCAGCATAATACAATTGCAAAGCCAAATGCCAATAGAAGAGTAGGGATGGCAACAAAACCCGAACCCACGGGTACCCTACCCGACCCAACCCGGTCAACGCGGGTAAAACCCGTGTTGACGGGTTTTGGGCCGGGTTCAGGTTTAAACCCAGTACATTATTCACGGGTTGGGGTGGGTTTGGGTTTAGGTATACCCGACCCATGGGTACCCGCCCACACCTAAATAATTAAATTTTCCGGTATATTTAATATTCTAAGCAATATATTTTCGTTAAACAGTTAATCTTCATTATGTTAGTGGAGACATGTCTAATTTATTCTTTAAAATTGTGTATAATGAAGTTGATATTATGGAGAGGAGAGTGAAGATTGAAGAAGTTTAGTTGACAAGGAGGAAGAAGTTTTCAATTAATCATGTTTATAGA